TCTGGTAAAATTGAAAAAAAGAAAGGAAGAGAGAGAGAGACAGAGAGACAGAGAGACAGAGAGACAGACAGAATGAAAAAACAAACAAAAGAATGAACAAAAGAACGAAAGAATGAACAAACGAATGAAAAAAGAACGAATGAAAGGACAAAAGAAAGAATGAAGGAATGAACAAAAGAACAAAAGAATGAACGAAAGACAGACTGACAGAAAGAATGAACTAACGAACAAAAGAACGAACGAACAAAAGAAATAACAAATGAATGAATGAAAAAAGAATGAATGAACAGAAGAAAGAAGAACGAAGGAATGAATGAAAAAATGAAAGAACGAAGAAAAGACAGACAGAATGAAAGACAGACGGAAAGACAGACAGAAAGACAGACAGACACAGAAAGACAGACAGACAGAAAGACAGACAGAAAAAGAGAAAGACAGACAGAAAGACAGACAGAAAGACAGACAAAGACAGACAGACAAAGACAGAGACAGACAGAAAGACAGAAAGACAGATAGACAGATAGAGAGAAAGACAGAAAGACAGACAAAGACAGACAGAAAGACAGGCAGACAAAGACAGAAAGAGACAGACAGAAAGAGAAAGACAGACAGACAGACAGAAAGACAGACAGACAAAAAGACAGACAGAAAGACAGAAAGACAAAGACAGAAAGACAGACAGACAGATAGATGGAAAGACAGACAGAAAGACAGACAGACAAAGACAAAGACAGACAGAAAGATAAACAATAAGACAGACAAAGACAGAAAGAGAAAGACAGACAGACAGAACGACAGATAGACAAAGACAGAGACAGAAAGAGAAAGACAGACAAAAAGACAGAAAGACAGACAAAGACAGACAGACAGAAAGAGAAAGACAGACAGACAGAAAGACAAAGACAGAAAGAGACAGACAGAAAGAGAAAGACAGACAGAAAGACAGACAGACAGACAAAGAGACAGAAAGACAGACAGACAGAAAGACAGACAGACAGACAAAAAAAGGCAGGCAGACAGACAGCGGTCTCCTCCCCAGGAACTGGCAGGGCGAGGCCCACCTGAGGGCTTGAGGGGAGGTGGAGGAGGAAGCGTCCTCAGGGTGGTCCACACTGTTTGGTAGGAGCAGGCCAGGTGGGAGCCCTGACTTACTCTGTCCAGAGTGTCTTCTGCTCAGGAAGGGAAGGTCTAACAGTCAGCTCGCGCTGCCCTAACCCCACAAGCTGGGCGGCTGACATAAAAATTGCTCATCTGGGGCCAGCTGGTGGTGTGGTGGTTAAGGCGCTGGACTCCCACATGGCTGACCACGGTTCAAGTCCTGGATCCAGTGGCTTGAAAATCTCACTGGGTGAGTGTGTGAGGAGAATGGAGGACAAAGGACTGTGGCACGGGCCATACCCCCGGGGAGTGATTTCTCACTTTCCTTCTCTCTCTTTGTCACTCTCCAGAAAGACAGACCGACAAAAACAGAAAGAGACAGACAGACAGAAAGAGAAAGACAGAAAGACAGACAGACAGACAGACAGAAAGACAGAAAGACAGACAGAAAGACAGACAGAAAGACAGACAGAAAGACAGACAGAAAGACAGACAGAAAGACAGACAGAAAGACAGACAGAAAGACAGACAGAAAGACAGACAGAAAGACAGACAGAAAGACAGACAGAAAGACAGAACAAGCAAAAGAATGAATGAACGAAAGAACGAACAAAAGAACAAAAGAATGAAAGAACGAGAGAATAAGAATGAACAAATGAATGAACAAATAAGAACGAAAGAACAAACGAAAGAACGAACGAAAGAAAGACAGAAAGGTAGACAGAAAGACAGACAGACGGAAAGACAGAAAGACAGACAGACAAACAGAAAGACAGAAAGACAGACACAGACAGAAAGACAGACAGACAGAAAGGCAGACAGACAGCAAGGCAGACAGACAGACAAAGAAAGAAACAGAAAGAGAAAGACAGAAAGACAGATAGAAAGACAGAAAGACAGAAAGACAGACAGAAATACAAAGACAGAGACAGACAGAAAGACAGATAGACAAATAGAAAGACAGAAAGACAGAAAAAGACAGACAGAAAGACGGACAAAGACAGAAAGAGACAGACAGAAAGAGAAAGACAGACCGACAAAAAGACAGACAGACAGAAAGACAAAGACAGAAAGACAGACAGACAGATAGAAAGACAGACAAAGACAAATACAGACAGAAAGACAAACAGAAAGACAGACAAAGACAGAAAGAGAAAGACCGACAGACAGAAAGACAGATAGACAAAGACAGAGACAGAAAAAGAAAGACAGAAAGACAGACAAAGACAGACAGACAGAAAGAGAAAGACAGAAAGACAGACAGACAGACAGACAGAAAGACAGAAAGACAGACAGAAAGACAGACAGAAAGACAGACA